GTGATGTGAGGCCACGTGCTCTCAATTCGCGGACTGACCATGCCATTTCTTGATTTTGCTCAAAATCATTTTCAATGGTGAATTTTGCTTCAGGGACGATTGGCCATTCAGCCTAATTTGGAGTTAGAGGTACATTAGAAGGGCCCTCGAATGAGCGAGCACTCTTGGAAGCCACTTAAGGGGCCATTGGAGTGAAGAAAACGCATTAGTCAAGCCAAAAGGCATAACAAGGAACTCATAGTGTCCATACCGTGTACGGAACGCTGTCTTCAGGATATCCTCATCCCTAACCCGCAACTGATAATAGCCAGACCTTAAGTCAATCTTCGAGAAACAATTAGCTCCCCTCAACTGATCAAACAAATCATCTATCCTTGGCAAAGGATACTTATTCTTAATGGTGGCACGATTCAACTTTCGGTAATCAATGTGCAACCTCAAAGAACCATCTTTCTTCTTAGCAAACAAGACAAGTGTGCCCCACGGTGACACACTCGGTCGGATGAAACCTTTTATCCTCAAATCATCAAGCTGCCTCTTCAATTCTTCCAATTCAACTGGTGCCATACGATACGGTGCTATAAAAATCGGCGCGGTACCTGGCATTAACTCAATAGTGAACTCCATTTCTTGGTGTGGAGGCAACTCTGTCAAATCTTCTGGAAACATATCCAGAAAATCACGAACAACTGCAGGATAATCATCTTTCACAAGATCATCTTCTTCGGCTATAAGGCTAGTGTAACGACCCGGTCATTTGCCTCCCTTTCCTTTTTCTTGAAATTTTACAAATGAATTTTTTTCGTTTAATTTTCTTTTCTGAACTCTGTTTCGTGTCGCTTAGTGTTATCTCGAGTGTTCAGAATTGGTTTCTGAGACTCTTTCATATGAATTGACAACTTCCTTTGAGGACCGAGTCATTTCTGCATTTTCACTTTTCGGACACTATGCGTCTTTCGTCCTTTTCCCTGTTTCGTCTTTTTCCCTATTCTGTCTTTTCCCCATTTGTCACATTGTTGGCACAACCTCGCTTCTCATGCTCGGAGTTGGTTTTTGACTTCACGTGCCTTCATCTTGAGTGGTTTCTTCAAAATACGTATCTTTACTTTTGCAAGAAAGTACTTTGGTTGCTCCCGGTGTCCATAAGGGCATGGATGCAAAGTTCTTTGAAATTATTTTCTTTTCTTAGGGTGCTTTTTCGTAAATATCTTTTGCAGATATTTTATTTCAGGGGTTTTTAAGAAAATATTTTTGGAAGATATTTTCATTCTGGGCCATAAGTGCAGTTTTCACTTTTTGGAGGGGCCATTGTGCAATTAATGAAAGTTATTGCAAAATGTCTTGTTTTGAGCCTGGATCCTCGTATGGGATTCATTTTCACCTTTTGTTGAGTTGTGTACTCTTGGAATTTCCTCCTGGTCGATGTTTTCCAGTTTCAGGATTTCTGGCCCCGGTTTTTGCCAAACTTATTTTGGGCATAACTTTCTGTTCGGGACTCGGTTTTTGACGCCATTTCTTCCGTTGTTCATATTTTATCATTTTGAATCTTTTTCATTCACAAAGTTTTGCCATTTGAGTGCATCTGCTCAAATTTTACTTTTTCGGACCCAACGGGGCCCGTTCGGGCACTTTTTGAGATTTCTATAAAAAGGGGGTGAGATATTTCATTTTTCATCTTCTCCCATCTTCATGCATGACCTGGAGCTCCCATGGCAGCCCAAAGGGTGCTGCCATCTTCTCTCTCCTCTTTTGTTTCACTTTTCCTTGATGGAAAGTCTTCAGCCTTAACGTTTGTCGCTCCCCTCGACGTACTCTACCATTCCCCCTTATTAGAATCCATTTTCGACAATTTTTTGAGTTTGGGTTTGGAGTCAAGTTGAGATTTTCATGGGGCTTCTTGTGAATCCTTGTTCCCGGGGTAGTCCCCGACAAAACCTCTCGGTATTGTCGGATTCGGAGCACTTTCGTTTCGGTGGGGATTTGAGATTTTCATCTCAAATTGAGGTAGGAGATGTTCTAGGTTTAAATTCTTGTTATATAGCATGCTTGTGATGCTTATACAACTTGTTGGCATGATTAAATATAAAAACTAGAGATTTTATTATTTATTTTTCTTGTACGGGATCTAATTTTTCCGGTTGCTCATGACTTGGTTTAAACATGTAGCATGATTTTATATTACCCCTTGATATGCTCATTGTCGTGTATTAAAATTGGAACATTTGAATAAGTATTAAAGATTTTATTTAATATTTATCTTAGGTGAAAGATTAATTCACATGACCTTAACTAGCTTGAAATTAATATGTGTTAGCATATTATATTAGGCCTCAGCATGGTCTTCAACATAGTTAAATTTGAAAGTAATTGGAGGTGTTTTGAAAATTAGTAATTATTAATTAATTTGATTAATTAATTTGCCCCGAGTACACTATTCACTCCATTTGAATTCTGACTTGATATTCTTGATCTACATGCCATATAGCTTTACATATATTTGATTTAGAATATTCGGTGAGGTTTTGAAACTTTTTATTTAATTAAATTCCATGTTTAAGATTTAATCCTCATGGTGATATACAACTTGGAATTGTATTGTGGCATGCTAGAAAATTAAGCTTAGGTATAGTTGTTCACATATATTAAATTGAGATTAATTGCATGAGAATTGGAACTTTTAATTTATATTTAACTTTAGTGAAAGTTTAATTCACATGGTCTTAAATGGAATGAAATAAACTTGTAATGTAATATTACATTAGTTCTTGCCATGCTTTCCAATATAGGTTAATTTGAGAGCATTTGGTTAAGTTTGAAAATTAAGAGATTTTAATTAAAAGAATTAATTAAAATCTATTTTGTGGTCCCATTAGTTTAATTAAGGTTTTAACTTGATATTTGTATTGGCTATGACTTGTTTACTAGTATATATTAATTTGGAACTATTTGAAGTTGTTTTAAAACCTTGGGATTTAAATTAGCATGATTTAATTAAAATTCTACTTTGTTGTTCTAACAACCTAATTAAGTTTTAGAATGGATATAGGTGATGACCTTGCCATGTCCTTTAACATGTGTTAAATTGAGGTTAATTGGAATTGAATCGGAATCTATAGAATTTAATTGTGTTTATCTATTTAAATTCTATCAATTTGCTTCATGATCTAGTTGTGTTTTAGAAGTGGTTTCTATATTCAAATCATGGACTTAGACTTATTGTATATTCATTTGGTTATGTTTTAAACATTGGATAACATAGTTGCTATGTTTGTATTCATGAGAATATGTTTTCCTTATTGAATATATTGTTGCCTTGTGTAATGATTTGCACACTTCGTGTTTAACATCTTTCATGCATAGCGTGTAACGAATCGCACACTGAAGATTCGACATTCATCATATCATATTAGCTGTGGATTTAGAGTATGTATTGTATAGATTTCCAAATTTGGTTGTGCTTAGTAGATAGTTGATTATCTTGCATATTCCTGTTGATATATGCGTTGTTGCACAACTTGTTGATTTTGGAAACTTGGGGATGTCGTTATTTGACTATGGCTAGGACGTGGTTCTAGTATGGGGGATAGTCCCTCTATATGGTCTAGTGCGCACATAGGGAGGTTATCCATGGGCTAGTAACCCTAAAGTAACTATGTTGTCGGTCTGATCCGGCGTGACGTTTGAGTATCCACTTTGTTTGATTTCGCATTTCATTTTCAAGTTGATAACTAGATGATGTTGTAACTTGTTGTTTCTTAATTGTCATTCCATTTTAAGTTACAGGATGTTAACTTTACGAAATTGTGCTTTATACGTTGTATTGGAAGTTCCAATGTTGGTTAAATTGCATCGATATTGAAAATCGTGTTTTGACGTTCTAATAAAGCTCAGGATTGATCCTATTGATTCATTTATAACTTAGACGTTAGGTGGCATGACCTACTTCTGTTGTTTTTGTGCTTTAGATTTCAAGCTGATAGCTTTAAGAAATTGTATTTTGTTGCCTTGTATAATATGCTTTTATGTGGTTAGATTGTATTGAAGTTGTAAATTGCATTTTGATTGTTCAGCATGGCCTAGGATGATTCCTTAGACTTATTTATAACATAGACGTTAGGTGACATGATCACTTTAGTTGTTTCTGTATTCGAGATTGCAAGTTAATACCTTTAAGAACCTATATCTTGTTGCTTTGTATAACGTGCTTCCATATTGTTTAAATGGCATAGATGATGTGATTTATGCTAGAAACACTCTAAGGTAGCTTGGGATGCTCCCTGAGTCTCATTTCGATATAAATGTTAGGTGGCATGAACTCCTTTAACATGTTTCACCTTAAGGTGATAAATTTGTAAAATGCTAGGTCGATGCATGCTCATCTCCTACGAGTAGCTTTATGTTACTCACCCCTACGATACTGGGGCATATTTCAGGTACGAAGACTTGGTTCGTGACGCTACGAAGACTTGGTTCGTGACGCCTAGCATTCCTTGGATGTCGTGTAACTTTCAAGTTTCCATTTCATGCAAATGTTAGCATGAAATGTCATTTTGTAGACTTATATGTCAAAATATGTATATTTGATTCCATGTATGTAATGTGTACATAAGTGCACTCCTTTCAATGTATTTGATATGTATGAGATGAGGCCGGAGGCCAATGACATGTGTATTGTATTCTATACAACTTTTTAACTTCATGAAATATTATGAAAACCTTGAAAAATCGCAAGTCATTGCTTCACCATGGTTGCATCGGGTGTGGGAATTCCATTTTCATTCTTTTATAGGGTTTTATTAATCATGTTTGAAGTGTGGCCAAGGGCCAAACGGTCTTTTGATCCCGTTTTGTATTTTTGGATTCCGAGTTTTAATTCCAAGTTCCATTTTTGCCTTTTTGCCCGTTGGGGGGTCGGATTTTGTATCGGTGGTATTTTTAAGTCATGGACCATTGTAGCACGTCCAAATAGGTAAGTTACGTTTGCGTGCATGGTCATTTCTGGGCACAACCTTATCGTTTGTGTTTTGAGTCTCTTGTGAATTCATTTCGCACTTTTTTTTGCATATTCTGATCTAGGGGCATTAAAGACTTTTCACGGTGGTTTTATTTTATTCTTTCAACATGGTTGAATAGAAAACATGATTTTAGGGGGGGTTTCTTTTCCGTGTTTTTCCAGAAAAAGCCATCTTGGCATCGGAAATCGCATCCGAAGTTCAGCTCTCAGTTTTTAAATTTAGCAGCTTTTTGGACCCTCTGGACCAGTTTTCTTGAGAGGGCATTTTGGGCATTTTTCAGTGAGTTTTTTTTTATTTATTTTTCTTACATGTTACGTAGAAAACTCGATTTTGAGGGGGGTTTCTTCTTTGTGTTTTTGCAAAAAAGTTCATCTAGGCCTCCAAATTCAGCCTTTGTTCTGGATTTTTCTGAAAAATTACCCCATAGCAGCTTTATGGCTGCTGCTGCCAGCCATGGTGCACCCAGCTCACGCGCGGCGTGCATGGGCGCGTGCATGGGTGTGCGCATGGGGCTGTCATGGCTCCTCGTCGGGCCGTCGCGACGTCATTTCTTCTTTTGGGCATTTCTCCTTTGTCCGGACTCCGATTCAAGTGAATTTTTTTTTGAACTTAACTAATTTTTCTCCGTCTTTCCAACGGTATGCTCGGTTACACCCGATTCTTCCTGGATAATTACCAGTTTACCCTTTTTGCCTTAAGTGCTCGTTTTTCTTCGTCATGACGTTTCTCCTTCGTCTGGACTCCGAATCATGCGATTCTTGAGTCCATCTTGATCAGTTTTTCGTTGTCTTTCCAGCGGTATGCTCGGTGGTACCCGAATCTACGATTTTTAAAAATGACTATTTTGCCCCTGGGGGCTTATTTGTCATGTTTTTGATGTTTTGCTTCTGCATCAGTTCTTGTTGAGTTCCACGACCTCATGGAAGGTCACTTTGACTTCTTAGAGTCTTGTTTTCTATTTTTGCTTCCGCATTCGGATCCGTTATCGGGTCAATCTTCGGTTCATCATAAGACGCGCTGGCCTAAAAAACCAGGGTCGTCACAGCTAGCCAAGAAGTAATCACCACGACTCCGTCCACGAACTTCATAAAATAATGAAATGTGGGAATCATTCCGATCTCCCATGAAAAAGAAACAGTCTCCCTCGGGAGTGCAAACTGTGACTCTACCTCTAAAACAGTCGATTGTGGCACGAAAGGAAGCTAACCAATCCATCCCGAGAATGATATCAAAGCTAGTCATCTCCAGAAGGATAAGGTCAAACATAAAGATCCGCCCGGCTATCACAATGGAACAATCCTGCACAACTTGGGTCAAAGACACTGAAACCCCAGCTAGCGTATCAACACACAACGCCCGATCCATAAAACTGACCTCTAACCCCGATGCAAGTGCAAATGATGATGATATGAAGGAATGAGATGCACCAGAGTCAAACAAAACACGGCCCAAGAACCAAACACTGGAAATATACCTCAGAGAACTGACGATCTAGGAGATGCATCAGTCGGTGCAAGTGTAAAGACACGCCCCTACGGTGCCTGTGCCTGAGGACTACTAATCTGTTCACCTGACTGCTGCACTGACATAGTAGGAGTATCCCTCCTAACTGGCCGTGAACCCTGAGAGGACATGGCAGGCTGTGATGGTGGTGGTCTGAAACCTGACTGAACCGTAGTCGATTGTGACGGCCTCTGCTGTGACCCTCTGCCACTACCGGTGCCTGCTCCCTGATTAGGACAATTCTTAACCTTATGGCCCTGTTGGCCACAACCAAAACAAACCCCAAAATTAACCGATATCTGTGGACACTCTGACTTGTAGTGACCCGGCTGATTACAACGATAACAAATGACACCACCCTTGGCAGACGTTGCTGGCATAGGAGTGGTAGGAGCGGATCGTGCAAATTGCTGCCCCTGAAACTGAAATGAAACACCCCTGTTCTTTTTCCCTGAAGGTCCCTCTGCAGATGGTCTTGCATTCCTCTTTTGTCTCCACTGTTCCCTTTTTGCATTTTTATCTTTGGCCTCCATCTCTAGCATCAATGTCCTTTCCACTACCTCAAAATAAACCTTGATTCCCTGTGCTATTAACAACGGTCTCATTTTGTAGTCAAGTCCAGAGATAAACTTCCAAACTTTATCAACTTCATTACTCACCATTTCTGGAGCAAAGCGGGAAAGAGACGTGAACTTGTTCTCATATTCTGTCACTGACATATTGCCTTGGATAAGGCTATAAACTGATTCTTTAACTCCCACCTATTGGAGGTTGAATCTATCCCAACTCATCTCTTCAATCTTCTATTGATTTGTGATCGATTTCCACCAAAACTTGGCATCCTTTGTGAACTTGTAAGTGGCTAGGATGATTTTCAAGTGATCCTCCGTCACATCCATAGAAGTCAATTGAGTTTCAACTTGCTCCATGTAGTCATCCGCTACTTTGGGATCTGCACCACCTTCAAACATTATCGGCATCAACTAAGAAAACCCTTTAATAATCTTGAGACGCTTCTATGCTGGCGTCTTCTTCACTTGCATTACCAGTTGTGGTATCGGCTGCGGCTGAGTAGCAATGGTGGCCCTCAAGGCCCTCTGCAACAAGCGATTCAATACTATTTCCTCCGAATTTTCACCCTCTTCAACGGGTGCTTCCACATTATCCCTCCTTGTAGGAACAACTCTTGGGGCAATTAAATCCCGAAGAAGTGTGTCCTCATCAACTGGCTCCGCCGGATTGGAGCTAGAGCCCTCGCCAACATCACCCCTTGTTGGCCTAGGGCCAACTTCCCTGGGTTCCTCACGCCGTGACATCATTCTATAAAACAAAGAAAACAATTCAATAACGATAACACTAAGGTCCAACCGTAAACAACTCAACACAAAAGGATACTATACTAACACTTAGCATGCAATGAACACATTAATATAAGCATATAAGCACATAAACACGTAAGCAAATTAACAGTTAAGCATGTTTTTTCACATAGCAAACACTTTTGCAATTAATGAAATAACAATGCAAATGACTTCCCAGACAACCCTAGGTAGGCCTCTACCCATCGTCCTAATGGTTTTCGAATCAACGCTCTGATACCAAAATTTGTAACGACCCTAAACTGATACCATTTAAAAATAAATAAAAAAAATCGGCATGACCTCGGCTAAAAATCGTCCTACAACAACCTGTTTAAATGCACTTTTAACCTGTCCCAACAAAAGAAATATCTAATACATTCCATGGTGGTACAACCACATATTATATCATCCAGGTATCATAATTACAGTCCCAAAATACAAGATAAATATCAAATATCCATGCTTTATGTGACGTTTCCAATTTTCTACATTTTTCATTTTTCCGGTAATTCGTTGATGCAAGGGTATTTCGGCCTTTTCACATTTTGTGTACGGGTTTTTAGTTAGGTCCATTGCACTTTGTGCATTTTAATTTATGTGAATTAAGTGGTATTGGTATGTGGTGCATTTATATGTGTGAGGTGTAAAATGGAAGAAAATAAAAAGGGAAAAGAAATTTAAAAGTGGTGGGACCCACCACTATATCAAGAGTGGTTTAGAGACCACATTTCCAACCCTCATTCTCTCTCCCCGCTGAATCTCTCTCTCACTCTCTTATTGTGCTTTTTCTTTTTCTTCTCTCTTTCAATATTTGAATGAGGGTATCTCACTCAATACTTGGTGGATTTGAGTGCCGTTTGAGGCAAAACGGAGAGCACGGCGAGCTCTACGCGTTCATACCAACAATTTCAGCTTTGAGTATCCCCTTGGCTTTTGAAATTGGAGGCCCATTTTGAGGGTTTTACACAAATTGAGGTAGGGGCCCTTAATCCATGAAATCTTGTGCTTTAGTGAGTTGATCTACTTGATTTGTGTCTTAGAATGCTTAATTATGTTAATTATAGTTTAAATTGACTTGATTGAGATATATGAACATGTGAGAATGTGTAATAGATATGTTGTATGAAAAGCATGCTTATATGATAACCATGGAACCATGTGGATTAAATGCTTTATGTAAAGAGCATGTTTATGTGTTGATTTTCATATTCCAAAAATGCTAGAATCTTGTTATATGCCGTTATGTGGTAAATCCTTTGGGAATTTTTGTAAACCATGCCTTGTTAGTTAAATTTGAACTAGTCATGAGATTATGAGCATGGACATAGAATTGATGTATTCATGCATTGGCATTGGGCATGAAAGGGAAGAAATCGTTTTGAAAAGAAAAAGAGAATTTTGGGAAAGTATTTTAATGAATCGGTTTTGTAAAAACCTGGTCGCCACGGGGGTACCAAAGGGCCGGAAAGTTAATATAGCCTAGAGGGAACTATGGAGATTGCCCTAGCATGGTTGAGCTAGCTGGGCCCCATAATGACACCGCGGGGGTACCAAAGGTCAGGGACACTAGCCAATCCTTCTCTCGTGTCGCTGCGGGGTCACCAAAGGGTGGGTTATATTAACAGTTTACAAGTGATGGTTTTGATTTTGAAAACGGGGAGCGACATCGGCATGTATTGCATTCCCATTGCATTATGTTATTTATGTGGAGATTGATTATTATATTGTGGTTTCCCTACATGGCCTGATCCCCATTCTCATTGCTCTATTCTTTGTTTGGATTCACGGGGACACAAGAAGAGTGTCTTAAGTGCTACCTACTGAGCTTTATGCTCACCCTATTATTTAATAATTTTTTTTTAGGAAAAGGGAAAGAAGTGGCGGATGACTTTCCACCACAGGCCTAATTTGGATTAGAAGACTTCTTTTTGTTATTTTTATATTAAGTCCCATATTTTTGTAAAATCTTAGTTTGTTATATTTGGTATAGAGATTTGTGAACTCTTGTTATTGTAACTATATTTTGGGACTATAATTATGATAATTTGGATTAAACGGTATGTAGATGTTCTACCATAAGATGAGCGATGTTGAGGTATAATGAACGGATGGATAGGATGTTGGAGTATATTAATTGTATTATGTGTTGGGACAGGTTGGAGGTGTGTTGAAAGGCCAAGAAGGGCCATTGCGTTTTTTTTATTTGAGCAGGTAGTTGTAGTCCCATTTTTAAGGGAGGTCATGCCAAATTTTTTTTTAAAAAAAATGGTATCAGTTTAGGGTCGTTTCAAAATGTATTAGAGCAATGGTTTGAAAACCTAAGGACGACGGGTAGGGTTGACCTAAGTAGGACTTAAGTTGATTTGGATTTGTTGCATGTTAAAGTGTTTACTGTTTTGAGAAGTACACTTACTTGCTTAGTTGCTTACGTGTATATGGTTTTGAAAAGCATGCTTACCTGCGTACTTGCTTATTTGCTTACATGATTACATGTTTGTATGTTATATGTGTGTAGTACTGACTTAAATAATCCATGAGTAAGTGTTATGGGTTCAACATGTAATCGTTAAGCATTCGCACTTCTGTGTTGTATTAATTCTGTGAGTTATCACCTATAAACGGGGTAGGTATCAATATTGTGAGCAAGGGTGATGTGAATAGCACAATCTTCTGGGTCTGGTTTGATCTGAATGCGTTGTTCCACTAGGAGTTTTTTTTTTCTAGAGACTGGCAATGGTGAAGACGTTTGATCTTAGGTGTTATCCGGGACAGAAGTCCTTATTTTCTTGCACGGGCGAGAATTTATGTTGTGTTTCCTCGGTGTGGTGAGTGGACTTTTGGGGTGATGGATTAGTAGGTTATGGTGTGTGAGTCATGAAATCATTTCGTGTAAGTAAAGTTGATTAGATGTCAATAGACGTGAGGTGGTATGTAGTGTATGACTTATGAGGTTCTAGTGTTGTATGGGTTGAGTTAGGTTTGTATTTGGATTTTTATTTAGAAGTTCACTGATGTTAAGGTTGAGAGTTGTCCCTTAGATTACTGTTTGGGAATAAAAGTTAAGGTTGATCTTGAGTTGACGACGGGATGAGTAAGTTGCACCTTCTGTTATGATTTCCAGTGACGAAGGCAGAAACTAAGTGTGATGTTGTTTGGTGATCGTAGAGTATTAGTCATAGATTGTGTTGAGCCAGGATGAGGAGTGACCTCTTGGGCTTGGTGGCCTGTTCTATTTGATTTATTTGTTTTGTGGCTTTGTGGACGGGTGTGTGTGAGCGTGTGCAGGTGGCACCAGAGGGCTACCACATTGAGCGAGCTACGGGCACACAACTCAGATGAAATCGATGTGGACATTCCATTGTGTTGGATAGTAATTATACGGATTTGCTGGGTAATGATAGTGTTGGGGGTGTAAGAGTAGTATACCCTTTTGTTTGGTGGGATAAGTTAGTTGTAAGTATGACTTGAAGGTCCAATTAGATACTAATGAGAGACCATTGTTTTGTAGTCGTCGTCTGCTACAGTTTATGTGATTGACCATATAGTGTAGTGTTTGTTTTCTTCTTAGGGATTGTTTCTGTAGTATGCCATGTACGATTCTTTTCTTGTGACGGGTTGTTGCCTATAGTGTTGGGCATCACGAGTAGTGTGTGTTTCATGTTGGGTTGGTATCACTCTTGAATGAGCGGTTGGTTAGTAAAGGCTTGTTGATGCCAAGGGATTAGAGTGGTGTAGTTATTTTGGGAAGGATGATCATGGGGGTGTTAGTACTTGAGGTTTCTGTATTGGAGAATAAGTCAGTTTAGGGGTGATCCTAGTATTCAGGAAGACAGCAGTGATTGATCGCATTATTGATAGTTTTGAGGAGACAGTTGGGTGTTGAACATTTTGGATTCTTATGTTCATTTTTGTTTGAGGATTTGTTGGCAAGGCATTGCCGTGTGAATGTTCTTTTCTAGTGGTAAATAGTGGTTGTTATGGGGAGCAGTGAGAGCTATGTTTGTTCTTTGTTTACGATGATATTATTTTAAGGATGTTCGAGGAAAGATCATTTAGAAGTGACTTAATGGTCTGATGGAATAATAGGTTTGAACAGTTGTTAGAATGAGTGACAATGTAAGTGTTATGATGTCATGGTATGATGTTTAGTGCTGATGAGAACGATGATTTCTGGTATGATCCGAAGATGGATTAGAGATCGTGAGTGTTGTTGTATGTTGTTAGGTAAGTGATGGGAAGTGTGTGCCAGTTGAAGCGATTGTGGACGGCTTAGTACTTAGAGCCAACGAGAGCGGTATTGTTGGATAGGCATCTTTTTCTTTTGAGGAGTCAGTGGACAGTCGTGATTGAGGTTACGAGTCTTGAGTGTACGGTATTCGAGGTAGTGACGTCTAAGAGAACGAAGGTGGAATGGGTGGTAAAGTGTTATTTTTTCGACTTAAAGGTTGTCATTTGGAGTAACAGTTTTCCGATGGGAGCGGACGCGGTGTCCAATGTACAGTGATGGTTCCTAGTGTTAGTATGTTAAGGGCGTTGGTGCTTTTATCTAATTAGTTTTGGTTACCATAATGTTGCAGAGAAGTGTGTACGAGCTTTTTGTGTTAATTGTGTAGGACGGTCCGGTAATGGGCGAGGTCGCTTAGATTAGTGCTCGTGGTTCCGTATGTGTTCCAAGTTGGTTCTTCTCCTTGGGTATAAGGAGTTCAGTTCATCTCAGGTGAGATTGGGTGTTCATGGTTGGACGACTGATGAGTAGTGTATGATAGGATGTCTGGTTCATTAAGGTACGAGTTGTTGGTCTCTTGTGAGAGCGGGGTTTATTACCCTTCCGTTTGTTCTAGTCTTGGCAAGGACGTCGTTGTTGTGGGTCTTGTCTATGCTTAGGAGTTGTGCGCGTCCGTGGACGGACGGATTTGTGAGTAGGTGTTGCGCTGTTAGAATTTGACGATTGAGGTTCTGATTAAAGGGGGTCGACTTACTTCCACGGAGGGAGGTATAGCCTTTAGCTTTGTAGTGTTTGTTTTGAGAATGGTTTTGACTGGTAGGATATGAGGCACGGGTTACCGATTAGGGATTGTGTTTCCGTTATTGGTACTAGCGGTGATGGCTAGGAAATGTGTCTTAAATCGCAGTTTGAGGATAATTGGGTGATGTGATGTGACTCATGTATTTGGATATTTTTAGAAGTGATTGATTCTAGTAGTGTCTTGAGGACAGGTGTTGGAATTGTTGAATGTTATGTAGTTAGAGAATGATTATGGAATTCCATTGGGGATAATAGGAATGATTGATCTTGGGTTTTAGACCTTAGGTATAAGATAGTTGCATTGTATATTTTGACGAGGTCAGAATTGGATTGGATGATGTTATGGAGTTGTTTACCTGGTATAGGTATTATGAGAAAATTAGAGAACGTTGATGTTGGTTGGTGATTGGGACATTGGTGCCGCATTGTCGTGTTTATTATGGTTATGTGATTGTGTTATGATTGGAATTCTAAGAGTAGGTGTATAGCTGTATAATTGTTAAGGTTATGTAGAGCGATGGATTGATTAGAAAGTGGATCTTGTGGTTGCTTTTTGGACTGTGTGAGACTGTGTTTGAGGTTTAGACCTAAGGATAGGGATGATGTCTGTGTCGAGATCGGATTGAGGATGAGAATGGCCTGGCCAACCATTTCTCCTGAATCAATCCTTCTTTAGCACGATGTCGGATCAAAGGTCAATGATTGTTCCGACTTTTTAATGATTGTGAGAGTATGGTACTGTACGTTGTGTGGGCGTGACAATGTGGACTTACATGATTTATCTTGGGTGACGAAAGGTGCTAGGTGGTATTGGGTGTTTGATAACAGGTTAGTGGTACAATCATTGATTATTAAAGATCTTGTTTCGAGAAATTGTGCCTTGGGTGCAGGATAGCATGCTTATTGATTTGGTGATAAATCTTTATGTGGTTATTAGAGGACTCATTGTTTGATCATGTTGAAGTTGTTAAGCGTAATGATTGTTGTATAAGTATGATTATTATTTGTTAGTACGGTTATGTGGTGGTGTAGCTACTTCATGGATAGTAAGTGTTTGGTCTGTTAGAGACGTATGGACTAGAGTTGAGATGGGTTGAGAGATGGACGGGATTCATTGTTTATGGTTTAGTATGTGTTCTTTAGAGGATGAGTTGTGGTTGGATGTCGCCTTAATTGGTGATTTGGTGACCGTTTTTCTTTTGGGCTTGGAGCCTTTCGTGACAGTGTTGAGTGGATCGATGTCCATTATGAGTCAGGCGTATAGACTGGTCGGTCTTGTGTTGTGACGTGGTGAGAGTTGGGTAACCGCATTAGTTTCTGTGGTGGTATTGGTGACATCCAAAGTCAAAGGTAGTAATGTCGGTGGGTTCATAATCTTGGGGTTTTGTGAGGTATTCTTAGAGAGTTGTGGCTGTGGACCTTCTTCTTAAGGAGGGTAGATTTCGAGGACGAAATCTTTTTAAGGAGGGTAAATTATGACGTTTCCAATTTTCTACATTTTTCATTTTTCCGGTAATTCATTGATGCAAGGGTATTTCGATCTTTTCACATTTTGTGTACGGGTTTTTAGTTGGGTCCATTGCACTTTGTGCATTTTAATTTATGTGGATTAGGTATTTGTATGTGGTGCATTTATATGTGTGAGGTGTAAAATGAAAGAAAATAAAAAGGGAAAAGAAATTTAAAAGTGGTGGGACCCACCACTATATCAAGAGTGGTCTAGAGACCACATTTCAAACCCTCATTCTCTCTCCCTGTTGAATCTCTCTCTCACTCTCTTGTTATGCTTTTTCTTTTTCTTTTCTCTTTCAATCTTTGAATGAGGGTATCTTACTCAATACTTGGTGGATTTGAGTGCCGTTTGAGGCAAAACGGAGAGCACGGCGAGCTCTACGCGTTCATACCAACAATTTCAGCTTTGAGTATCCCCTTGGCTTTCAAAATTTGAGACCCATTTTGAGGGTTTTACACAAATTGAGGTAGGGGCCCTTAATCCATGAAATCTTATGCTTTAGTGAGTTGATCTACTTGATTTGTGTCTTAGAATGCTTAATTATGTTAATTATAGTTTAAATTGACTTGATTGAGATATATGAACATGTGAGAATGTGTGATAAATATGTTGTATGAAAAGCATGCTTATATGATAACCATGGAACTATGTGGATTAAATGCTTTATGTAAAGAGTATGTTTATGTGTTAATTTTCATATGCCAAAAATGCTAGAATCTTGTTATATGTCGTTATGTGGTAAATCCTTTGGGAATTTTTTTGAACCATGCCTTATTAGTTAAATTTGAACTAGTCGTGGGATTATGAGCATGGACATAGAATTGATGCATTCATGCACTGGCATTGGGTATGAAAAGGAAGAAATCGTTTTGAAAATAAAAAGAGAATTTTGGGAAAGTATTTTAATGAATCGGTTTTGTGAAAACCCGGTCGCTGCGGGGGTACCAAAGGGCTGGAAGGTTAATATAGCCTAGAGGGAATTAGGGAGATTGCCCTAGCGTGGTTGAGCTAGCTGGGCCCCATAATGACGCCGCGGGGGTACCAAGGGCCAGGGACACTAGCCAATCCTTCTCTCGTGTCGCTGTGGGGTCACCAAAGGGCGAACTATATTAACAGTTTACAAGTGATGGTTTTGATTTTGAAAACGGGGAGCGACATCGGCATACATTGCATTCCCATTGCATTATGTTACTTATGTGGAGATTGATTATTATATTGTGGTTTCCCTACATAGCCTGATCCCCATTCTCATTGCTCTATTCTATGTTTAGATTCACGGGGACACAAGAAGCGTGTCTTAAGTGTTACCGACTGAACTTTATGCTCACCCTATTATTTAATAATTTTTTTTTATGAAATGGGAAAGAAGTGGCGGATGACTTTCCACCACAGGCCTAATTTGGATTAGAAGACTTCTTTTTGCTATTTTTGTATTAAGTCCGATATTTTTGTAAAATCTTAGTTTGTTATATTTGGTATAGAGATTTGTGAACTCTTGTTATTGTAACTATATTTTGGGATTGTAATTATGATAATTTGGATTAAACGTTACGTAGATATTCTACCATGAGATGAGCCATGTTGAGGTATAATGAACGGATGGATGGAATGTTGGAGTATATTAATTGTATTATGTGTTGGGATAGGTTGGAGGTGTTTTGAAAGGTCGGGAAGGGCCATTGCGTTTTTTTTTTTTTTTTATTTGAGCAGGTGGTTGTAATCCCTTTTTTAAGGGAGGTCATGCTAATTTTTTTATTTTTTTATAAATGGTATCAGTTTAGGGTTGTTTCACTTTACGACATTTATACAGCTTATTTTAAAGTTACAGCCCATAGGTATAATTATATTATTAAAAGTCCATAAGTCTCGATACTAAATATAACAAACTAAGGTTTTGCAAAATATATGGGACTTGAATACAAAAATAGCAAAACGATCTTCTAATTTATGCTAGGCCTGTGGTGGAACATTATCCGCCACTTCATTCCCATTTCTTGAAAAATGTTAAATATAAGGGGTGAGCATAAGCTTAGTAGAAAGTGCCTAAGGCACACCTCTTGAGACCCCGTGAATCCACACAATGAATAGGAATAAAAAAATTAGAATCATACAATGTCGGGAGTAAAAATATAACCACAATACCACATCATTAATCCGATACCACAATTAAATATGCTAGGCAATGATATGTCATACCATGCAATGTCACTCCTATTTTCCAAAACCATTACCGTCATCATTTCCAAACCATTAGTGAACCCGTCCCATGGCAACTCTATGGCGGCACGAGGGGAGGATTGGTTACTATCCCTGACCCATGGCAACTCCATAACGTCATTTGGGGCCTAGGTAACTTAACCACACTAGGGCGATTTCCCTAGTCCCCTTTAGGCCCCACGCGATCCCTAGGTAACTCCTAAGTGGCCGGGTTTTTCACAAAATCATTTTCAAAATTCTATCCCAAATATATATATATATATATATATATATATATATATATATTTTATTATTATTATTTTATTTTTTTTGTTAAATTCATGTTCCCATCTCTTTCCCAATGAAGTACATAGATGCTCCATGCCTTTTTGGTCATAGCAACATTTATCATCACACGCCAATTTTAAGATTTAATTACTTAGCATACTTCACAAGAAGTTTTCAAAAAAATAACATACTTCCTTCAACAAAATTCTAGCATGGTAAGCAAGTAAGGCATGGAATTAAATTCATATAAACATATATTTCATGTAACACCAATTAAAACACATAGACACATATCTCATTGCAACAATATAATCATTTCAAGGAAAAACTAACACAATTTAACATACTTGACAACAAATCAAATAAGATGATTCACAAAGGAGTAAGAAAAAGTGAATTAGGAACCCCTACCTCAATTATATACAAAACCCCCAAATTTTCTACCTCAAACCCTCAAAATGGGTCTCAATTTTCGGACTCCCTAGAGTGTCCAAAAGCTGAAATTGTTGGTATGGATTTGAAGATCTCGTCGTGGGCGTCAATTTGCCGCAAACGGTATCCAAAATTTCCAACAAATGAGAGAGAAATCAAAGAGTGAAATTCATGAAGCAAGAAAAAGAAAAATTAGAGAAGTGAGACCAGAAGGCTTCTGTCGGGGAGAGAGACTAATGAGGCTTAATGGCCTCTTGGCCACTAAATTAAAAAGCAAGTGGTGGTGGGTCCAACCATAAAAGAATATCCCACCATTAACTTATATATATATATATATATATATATATATATATATATATATATATATATATATATATATACATGAACACACTATAACATTGCATTTATGTTGATTCCTAATCTTTTCTTCAGGGTATATTGCTCAAGCAACAAAGTTAGGCACACAAGGTGTCCCAGTGAATCAGTCATTTTCTTTAGAAGAGTTGAAGGCCGCTGTGAAAGACTTTGATAGTTTTACTTTCATGGGCGAAGGTTCATATGGGAAGGTACAATCTAAACTATATAATGTGCTATAGAGCATTAAATTACGTTGGTGAAGTCATAATGGTCGCAGTAGCAATTCATTTATGTGTGGCCTTTAGCAATTAAGTACTAAGAGAGTAAAATTATTGAAAAGAATGCAATATAGGTTCTCAAAGAGAAACCTCACTTTAAATAGTGAACCAATAACTTTTGCAATACCTTAGGTAACTTAACTCTCTGTTTGCTGAGTGGCATGCATGCCGTGTAGCGACCCAAATTCGGGGGATTCAGATCGCTAATCGTGTCCCAACCCGACTCGAGGACACTAGGGGCAAAATGGTCATTATGCACCTTACCATATGTTAGGAGTCATAACGATAGCGTATCAATCATATTTAATCAAAACGGATCATGAAAAAAATGATAACCTCGACTTGGGGTTTACCCTAGGCTCCTATGGTTGATAAGGGTAAAATAGTTTTTTCTTATCAAAATCATGGAATGAGGCCTACACCATTTGAAAGATGGCTCAAAAATATCCAAGTTAGACTCAAGAATGACCCTATTAGATTTAAAACGAAGGAGTTATGGGCGTTCAAAGTTTGGGTTAATATGGCTATAGAATCAGACCCCTTTGTGCTCGAGCACAACCCCTTTGTGCTCTATCACAAATATTTGTTGAATCCTTGCGACATTGATTCAAAAAAACTTACTTGATTAATGATTACTATTAATTTAAAACACCTTCCTCCCTATATACTTGTTTTTGTCCTTTTACAATCTAGATTGATCCAATATCCCTCAAGAATTTATTCTCTCCCTCTCCTTTTGACAATTTGTGCAATATAAAATTATTTAAGCAATTTTTGATCTACAATTTCAAGAAAATCAACTACGCAAATTAGAGACATGTATAAGTTCAGTAAAAACTTTAAACCTTTAATTTCTTATTTAATATTTCAAAATATACAATTAACGTAATTGCAGTAGCAATTGCTTCTTCTTCTTTTTCTCCTTTTTTCTTATTTTCTCTTTGCAACAAAAAATTGTGCCATTTCCTGACTTGTGCGTAATTCCTCTTGCTTAAAAACCCTCATCACACTTGCACATACACCCCTTTGGAGAAATGGATATTTTATAAACTAAAATTAAGGTCAATTTTCTAAATAATGGAAAATTAAGCACTCGGAATACTACTAAAATGGAGATCAAGCTTCAAAAGCCAAGAGTTGAACAAGAAACAGACGGAAAAGTCAGTAACTTTGTTTCAAAATTATGGAACCAAGAAATTACGCAAATCTACACACCAAATTATGCCGAAGGCAAACAAGAACAGAATTATCCACACAAATCTACACACCAAATCAAAAGGTAAAAAATACTAATTTAAATCAAAGGAGAGTTAAAAGTACAAATATGCTATTAACCGGATGAAAGCCAACTTATGAAGAATTTATTTTGACAACTAAAATATAAATATATAACGTAGATCAAAGTTATCCGAGCCATCCCATGTTTATGCCTAAAATATCTAAAAAGCCACAGCAATTCTAAAAGCATCTGCTGAAGGAGAACAGTAGCGACTTGACTAAAGGCCTCAATGCAACATTGTATCTAAAACCACAACATTATCAGTTGTTCTTACGCTTCTCAAGCATTGCTCGTACCGTCATTGGAAGACCATGAAGCCGAATGAATCCATCCACATCAGCTTGATTGTACATCTGCCCACCATCCAATGATGAAATATCTTTTCTATACAGGCTGTGGGGGCTTCTCCGATCCACAACGGTAACAGATCCTTTGTACAGTTTCAGATCAACTGATCCAGTTGTATTTGTTGTGATCTTCTCCATGAAAGCGTCCATGGACTCACGAAGAGGGTCGAACCACTGGCCTGCATGCACCAGCTCAGCATATTTAAGGGCGAGGGAGTCTTTTACTTGCATTGTTTTGCGATCAAGGGTCAGGGATTCGAGTTCGCGAACAGCAGTGTAGACAATGGTCCCACCAGGAGCTTCATAGACTCTATGGTTTTTCACTCCAACAAGCTGATTTTCAACCATGTCCATGCGGCCAATCCCGTGTTTTCCACCTATTTCATTGAGCTTAGAGAGAAGAGATGCAGGAGAGAGCCTCTCTCCATTAACCGAAACAGGAAGTCCTGAAACTAGCCCAATTTTTACATATCTGCAGAGAATTGAGAACATGGAAAAGGAAATGTAACAAAGTGCGAAAAAAGAGAGAACATAAATAAGTTGAGTTCATATCAAAAAAGAAAACTTACTCGGGTTTGTCAGGTGCAAGTTCTGGGTCAACAGTCGTCACGTACCCCTTCATTGTCACAAAGAAAAACAGTTATGAGATTGATGGGAATTTTACAAGTAGACTAAAATTAGGTTTCTCTCTAATTTTCTTTTCTCTACTTCTTGTTATATACGTTCTCTTTCGCACTCTTGACTTTATAATTATGATAAATATGAAGTTGATTATCTATTAATCAAAATGACGCCAGAAAAATAGAGAAATATGAGGTAACACAATTGAACACTTAAAGGGATAGGAAAGCTCTCCACCCAAAGGAATCCACCTAAGAGATAAGAATCATAAAAGCAAAGATCACCAGAAGAACTCCTCCTTCTTAAGAAGCCAAAGACTCAAATATCATTCAAATTCACCAAAAACTGACTTCTAAGTACATCAATATGGTCTTAAACAGCAATAGGCAGATTTCCAAAACCAACTACACAAAAACCAATTAAAGAAAATAAAAAGACACAAGACTTCTTTGACTCACAGCTTAATATACTTTATTAAATAATTAGGGACTTAAAAGTCCATCAAAAGAAGTCTTAAAAACCAGAATAATAATCTTGGAAACTGATCAAAAGAGTTGGAACCAAGAATAGAGAGAAAACAGCCCAACAAGTGTCTATTTCCCAAGTGCAGAATTTTCAGTCAGCAAAAACTCCCTTCACTAAAAAGGCCATAACTCCTTCTAGGAATGTCAGAATTGCGCACCGTTTTTTTGCATTGGAAAGTAGACTTCTAGATCTATCCAACCATAGGTGGCTTCTCACCAAATTCTCTCTGGAGTGTTTTCCGCTGGGCTTCAAAGTTGACCCAAAACTGCATTTTGCATTTTCTGAAAAACATAGTCCATGTAACCTTGAGTTGGTTGGGCTTTGGCGAGGGAAACTCTGGTGTCATCAAATTATTCAAACATGTAGATCGTTGAGGAAATTAGGGTTCTTATATAAGGGAAAGAGAACTCTTCAATATAATTTTAAGGAGCTTTAAGTGAATTATGTATTAATCTAATTATTCATACATAAAAATTGGTTCAAAAAATTAAGGTTCTTATTGAAGAAAAAGAGATAACCCTAAAATGTCTGTCAAAGAGATTTTTTGGGGCTGAGATTTACCATACATAATTTTTTCCTTTTTTTTTTCTCTCAATCATTCCATGTATTACAAAATCGGTTTCAGAATACACAAAGTAAAGTTCATATCATCTGCCACAAAGTTGCCATATCATGTTATATAATTCAAGTTATTTTTGTGATACAATAACTTGTGATGTTTAGCATTTTTCATTTATAAAATATGTCAAACTAATAACATTGACTTCCAGAAGTTTGACCTTGGTTAGATATCAGCTCCATGAAGGAGTTGCACTAATTGGTAACTGAAGCCTAGCACCAGCCAACACACAATGCTTATCAGACTATTTACCATCTAAGCTTTTTCCTAGCCAACTTTAGCCATTGCAAACAGACATGGATTCCTCATAAAGTCATGACCAAAAATGTCGGAAGAAGATTAAAAATTTCTATTACTAAATTCATATTGCTATGCTTAATTCTGAATGGACTGGTCAAATTGGGGACATCCCTTAAAAATAGTAGTGAATGATTCTCTTGAGAATTCTAAGCAAACACATTTCAAAGGTTATAGACACTACAATAAGTTATTTAACAAACCTAAGGTTCGATTCTTACCAGAGTTTTACATATAAAAAACAAACAAAGAAGTTAGTTAACAAACAATCTCGAGCAACAATTAAGATGCAATAAGGCACAAAGCTTGTACCAGGAAGGATACCGTCAAGCTCATCAGGTCTGAGGTATCTTAGGAGTTCTCTCAAACCACTTATCAAATGATTAACATTATTTCCTGGAATATAAGTGGCATTAATGGCCTCTCCAAGCAGCTTGAGCTCAAGAGTCTTATTACTGAGTTTAAGCTTAATGTTCTCTCAATAATTGAGACCAGAGTTGCCTTCAACAATATGGAGGATATTCATAGAAGGAATGCTGCTAGCTGGTCAATTGCCCTTAATTATTCTCATTCCCAACTTGGGAGAATATGGTTGTAATGGAATCCTAGAAGAGTTGGTCTTACTGTTACTTATGTAACCAAGCAGGCCATCCACTGCCATATCTCACTTAATGGCACTCACACAATCTTTAACCTCACATTTGTTTATGGTTCAAATCTGACTGCTGGAAGGAAGTCCTTATGGCCTGATATTATAGCACACTCTTCTCTATTTGCCTCTCCTCCATGTCTTATTCTTGGAGACTTCAATGCCATCTCCAACACTGAGGAAAGGCATGGGGGCTCTAATAAGTGGTTACTAGCCATGTATGAGTTTAGGAAATGCCTGCTTGAAGC